GTATTCTACAACTTAATCTGACATGTAATACGTGATCGAGGACAAAGTAAGGTACTTCTTGTTTGTAGTAACATCTGAATTAATTTTTTCTAAAACCCTAACTACACCAGCAAGCCACATATATACATACATGTTTAAACGCATTACATACTTTGTTAGCCTGATGCAATATCTGTCCTTGTCCGGGCCGTTTAGCTCGACAGTCTCTGGCAATGTGGCCTGCTCCTCCACAAGACGAGCATACAATACTGTTTGTCACGTTCGGCTTGTCCGGACACTGAAATTAACAATTACACACTTAGCAAATTATACATTAAAAAAAAAACAAACGAACACAAATCAACCATTCAATAAAATTTTCTATTTTAAGATTCCTATACGCAAAGTGAATGCAAAGGTATCATTAATTTTTTAAATAAAGTTCCATAAACCAATTAACATAAGTGTATCCCAGGTCATACAGAGGGTTAAGACAGTAATTCCTTCATAGGACAATGTATACACTTTTACAACATAGTCCCAGAAAATATGCTGGACATATTTATTAAAAACATAAACGTTTTATTAAACAAAAACTGTTTTAAAAGGGATATTATACAAGTAAAGAGTACATGTGATAATAACCGCTGGGAATGGTGTGATCGCTAACATGCTGTTTCTAAATGTTTCCATATTTAATTGTACAATATATTATATTGTAAATTTTTAATTCAAAAGTCCCGCTATGTTTCTTGCGGTTTCTTCCCAAGTAAAAGGTTTTTCCAAATCAGTGGAAAAAGCATAAATTTAGTAAGTATTCTTGTATATATATATTGAATAAAAATTATTATATTCTAATCAGTAACTGGGTTTTTCTATCTAGAAATTCTCAGTAGCAGACCGGTGTCAAAAAGTTGGTTGTATTTCACCCTCGTATCCTGCCTCAGAAACCATGTAAAGCCGTTGATCCTGATTTTCATCCAGTAGTGACGGAATGCCGTAAAACAGCATTATAAGACTCAGGAAATAGATATAGTTGTGCTTGCGCATGCATACACTAGTGCAACTATAATCGTGTCCAACGCAGAAGGCTGGCCGTCGCGATCGAAATTCGATCTAGAGGATATTCACCATGTAGTAGTGTGAAACTCACCATCCATGTCTTGTGATCTGTAGCGGTGCAATTTGCGCATCGCGGGCCGTCGTTCTCTCGTAAGGTACCATTCAGTTGTGCAAGTTCCCGAAGTTGCATTCTGCGCAGGTCGTTCTGACCCTCTGGAACCTCCACACCTTGACGAATAACCTCTTTGATCTAGAAACGAATATTCAATAAATTATTACATGTGGCAGCATTACAGCTAAGTTTATTAAACTTTATACTTTAAACATACAGAAAAATATATCTCTCTCAACTTTTCCCCATGTATTATATCTCTTTCTATCTTTTAATACAGTTTTATTTCTATATAGATATTATAATTCGAATGAAAATTACCTTCTCGACAGCTTTCTTAACACAGTCCGCATTTGTGGCAGTAATGTAAGCGTGGAGGGGCTCATCCTCTCCGGGAAGTGGCTGACCATCCTTGCGGCCAACTTTGCCCTCCTTCACAGAACCTTTTCCACGAATGATAATCTTCGCTCCAGTCTCCTTCTCCATCGCTATAATTAAAATGTAAATAACTTCATAATAATTTCATTTTTTTTTATTTCTTCTTTGTTTCATAAACGTTACACTAGTATTTTTTTCTTGTATCGTGGAGTTTTCATGATTTCACATACATAGATTGCACAAGGATATCATCGTGGTAGAGCCATGATGCAGCTATATTAGTTGTATAGTTGTAGCACGAATGGGTCGGCTCGACCGGGGAGGGACCACGCTCTCACGAAATACCAGCATAAAAAAGCAGCTTAATGCTGCTTTGTTTTGTATGGTGAGTGTAAAGAACCGGAGACCCATTTTCCTGGAAACGAGGTATTCCATCATAGTCCTCACGGGTAACAACGCATCTGCATTTTGATTCGCAATCGAGGATAGATGTAGATGTCTATGGGCCACAGCAACCACTTACTATCAGGTGGAGTGTGTGCTCGTTGAACAGAATGCTGAACAATTATTTGTAGGTTACCTACTTTTTTGTACTGGTTTGGATGCCGCGGCCCTCAGCGCCGCAAGCTCCATCATAATAGATAGATAGGTAGACAGATAACACTTTACGACAAAAAATTACATAAAATTTAAAAAAAATTAGAAGAAATGTGGTAGAATTGGCGGTCTTATCACTAAGAGCGATCTCTTCCAGCCAACCTTTGGATGGACAGGATTGCAAAAAAACAATAAAAACGTGTGTGGTTTGGCGACAAAAATAACATTATTTTTATTAAAGCCACAAAATAGAAATATAGAATGGTATATAAATACATAGACAAAGTATATAAGTACATATATACACCATAAATTGCCTATTTATTACATTTAAATGGTAAAGTTAAGCTTATAAACGTTCAACTTCTGAATATATGCCTCCTCTCATTTTTAATAAGGTTTAAGGGCAAGGAAATGCAATGTCTGTCTACAACACACACTCGGAACATGAATATAAATATATACTTTTTTGTCTTCAACACACCCTCGGTATATAAATATAATTATATGCTTTTTTTGTCTTTAATACACACTCGCAATTTTGGCGTGTTGGCGGACTTCAGATATCTTCGAAATATTTTTGATTCCTGTTGGTTTCCTCACAACACTTTGTTTCACTTCAAAATTAAAAAAAATATTTGGAAGAATTAAATGCGCTCCAGTGTATCATACTTTAAAACAGGATGCTGTCCTGGTACCAACGGTAAATTAGCTTTATTTACCTTTAAGTGTATTCCCACGTGGTCCAATGAGAAGTCCCACAAAATTGATATCAGGATGTTCCTCCTGAGGGATCATCACCTTGTCATGGACTCGGATGATGGGTGGTCTGCAAACAATGCAATTTCAATCAAATTTATGGTTATTTTAATCTATTCTCTCTTCCCCAATTCTGTGTAGTGGTGGTGAAGAGAAAACATTACCCCATCTCAACCGTTGTAAGGGCTAATATAGAAAATACCAGATAGTCTCTTGGCTTCTGATAGATAATGGTACCGTGACAGTTATAGCCTACCAAAGTCCATTACTGATGACAGGTCTCTCCCATAGATTGTCTAGGGGGGCATTTTACCATAGTTGCCACGTTTGGCAAGCGGGTTGGCAAATGCAGTTTGAATTTTTAGTTATATTTAGGAAGACGCTGCTGCCCATCACCTGATTTGTTTACCTCTGACGCCTCTTACGACACCCACGGAATGATATGGGGTAGTGGATATTCTTACACCGCCAATACACGGCAATAAAGTAAAATGTAATGTTCTACTTTACTAATACAACTTTACTTTTTCTGTCCATTCATTACAACCTATGTAAGTAGGGGGGCCATTTCCAAACAAGGATATCTGCAGAAGAACCAGAGTAACCGACATAGCCCAACAGATTAGTAAGCTGAAGTGGCGATGGGCCGGCTATATAGCTCGGAGAACCGACAACCGATGGGGAAGAAAGGTTCTCGAGTGGCAGCCTCGTACTGGTAGGTGAAGTGTAAGGCATCCCCCCAACTAGATGGAGTGACGACCTGGTAAGACATGTAGGAAGTCAATGGATGCAGGCGCTCGGGACCGTGCATTCCTTGGGGGAGGCCTATATTCTGCAGTGGACTTGTGAAGGGCTGTAATGAAGATGATGATGATAAGGGGGGCCATTTTACCATAGTTGCCACGTTTGGCAGGCGGGTCGGCAACCAGTGTTTGAATTGAAACTTTTTTATCGACGTAGCGAAGAAATTTAGTATGGTATTAAAAATATATAATGTAACGTTTTCTTGTAACATTTCACCACTGCGTCTGCATGTACTATTATTTAACTTGTACTTATATAAAATAAAAGAAGAATGGTATGTTGTTATACGTGGTAGAGCCATGCTACAGCTATATTAATAGTATAGTTGTATGTAACACGAATGGGTCAACTCTACCGGGGAAGGACCACGCTCTCACAGAATACCAGCGTAAAATAGCAGCTTAATGCTGCTGTGTTTCGTATGGCGAGAACCGGAGACCATTTTTACTGGAAAAGAGGCATTCCATCTCTGTCCTTATTGCTGACTATAACTATATTATTAATATAGTTATAGTTAGCCAACTATACTATTAATATAGCTGCAGCATGTCTTTACCACGTATAATATGCCCGATTACTTCAAATTTGGCATAATTATGTGCTACTTTCTCGACATAAACACTAAGAAAGGAGTTTGGAAAATCCAACCCCTGATAGGGCGAAATAGGGTGGTTTACAGCTTGTATTGAATAAAAAAGTTTTTATTTATAAGGAGTTGTGCATTTTGGATGCGAAATTTACGTTTTACGTACTTATAGTCTGGTGGCGGTTTGAACTCCGGGTTGATCTGTTGCATACGCTGCACTAGACGGTGCCGCTCCTCTTCTAGTTTACGGCGCGTACGGTATTCCCGGGTGTTCAGCCGCTTGCCGTCCGTGGAGTAGATCGGCTCGGGCGACGGTGACCTGCAAGTTACCATTCTTATACACCACGCTTAAAACTGCACCAGAGAGTGCTGTCTGATATATCAGTTAGCAACATCCAACCTAAACTTATGGAACCATTATACTGTTAAATTTCTAAAACTATTTAGAATATATGTTATAAGCATATATATTTGCCTTTGTAAATATTGAAAAATAAACATATTATAGACAAAAAAATTAATATATAAAACAAATTTAAAAACATAAATCAGGAACTTTTACTATGGTTTTAGTTTATACACTAATTAATTATGTGTATTATTATAAAAACGAATTTTAAAGTGAGAAAAAATTAAAAGTTTACATAAAGAAATAGCTGAGAGTAACACAAAAGGTAGAATTCTCGGTGTGTAATATTTATATGTATTGAAACATTCAATGTTACAGTTGTAATATTTATATGTATTTAAACTTTCAATGTTACAGTTGTAATTTTAACCAAAGTAAGTTTAAACTATATTCAGCATCATATAGCATCATTTAAAACATTAAGCATTATATTTTATATTTATTATAAGGGTTTCTTGTGATTGACAGTGGAAGTCTAAAAATTGAAAATTAGAAGCGAAACGCAATTTATTTAAAGAAAATTATATCTAAAATAGTTCTGAAAACATACTTTGAAAATAATTAACAAGCAATGAAAATAATATATTTTTTAACCAAACTGAAATACAATGACTGTATATACATATCCCTTATGACTATAGGCTTATGTCTACTCAATGTTTTGAATTGTAAAAAAAAAGCGAAAAACGCGAGTAAAGAAACTAAGCCACATATTATTTAGAAGTAAAGTTGGATGATGTTAAAAATATATCATAAAAACTATGAATAAATTATATAATGCAAGTCTACAAGGAAGGCATATTTAGGGCTAAAATATCTATCAATTGTCACCCATATAAATGTCAAAAGAAAAAAATTCCAATATCATAAAAAAATTTACGGATATTTTTCGTGACTAGCAATATAATTTGATATGACGTGATCGAGGAGCAGGAAGAATTTCAGATTGTTGCAATTCATACAAATGTAAACTTTAAATACTTGAATATAAACTCTGTTTTCGCATCACAAATACTGTTCAAAAGGTCCTAAAACTATCTTAGTTGCAATAGAAATTAAACTTTTTTTGATTGGTATAAAGTTTAAAATAAATACAGTAATAAATTCCTGCTCCGTGACCGTGCTTTAGCTAAATTTCTTTTATATTAGCCTTTTTTAATAAGTACTATGGAATTAAAACTAAATAAAACATAAATCGATTTCAGCAGCGTCAACTTATGTTTAATCTACAGACCGATAGATCAAAAGAAAAAATATATCTTTATTAAATAAAGAATAATAAATTTCTATTTCAACAGATAGACATTTTAACCCTTATTTGCATCAAATAAAATTTTATTATTTAAACTATGAGAAAAAAATTATCTAAGGTATCAATAATTATAATGTTTATACACTCAATGGCTATTTTTTATAAAACTGAAGAGACATACGAACTTACGAACACGTGCAGCCAACTTACAATAAAGAAGAACTACTTGATGCGTTGTCACCTCTGAGAATCAAGATGGAATCCCTCAGCCTGTTATTATGGTACGGTAAGCTATGCTGCAGCTATATTACTGGTATAGTTGTAACACGAATCGGTCGGCTCGACCGGGGAAGGAACATGCTCTCACATAATTCCGTATGGCGTTTCGTATGGTGAGTGAGAAAGCCGGAGACCCTTTTTACTGGAAATGAGGCATTCCATCTCGGTTCTCACGGGTGACAACGCATCTGCATTTTGATTCGTAATCAAGGATAGGTGTAGATGTCTATGGGCCATAGCAAATGCTTACTATCACCTTACCCTATTTAAAAAAAATGTTAGCAGTCCCCTTACTACCACCACTTTATATCTATACTATACCTTCATATCGAAACACATCAGTGCAGGCACTGTTATTTGGCGGCATAAATAACAGTACTAAAATAGTATTTCTTAATGTTAATATACTAACAAAAACTGTTTTTTTATTAAAAACAAAACTCAAAGTCATTGAATGTACAACATAATCATGAGAATAATGATCAAGTGCATTGATAAACCTAATCTATAGTCGTATTTTTAATTAGACGAAGTCAACTGACGTTTACTGTGTTGTCAGTTTTTGATGAAATAAAAATAGTGTTGTGACAAAGTGAATGATTGAAAAACTCCTGAATTAATGAAATTGCCTCGATTGTCTAGTGAATAGTTAGTGTGCTGAACTGCCGATATCGGGTACGGGGTTCGAATTTTAGTCGTGCTTTGTACATACCAACGAGTTTTCGACGACTATGTTCCTATAATATCTACCTATACTGAATACCGAGTGTTTTAAACATTAAGGAAAATATTGCGAGGAAACTTGTAAGACTGTCCTATTTTCAATACATCATGTAGTTGAAACTATAGATGTATAAAATATAACAATTATAGGTAGGTAATGAGAATAAAAAAAATCGCTTATTACATAATTTGTTTTTATTCATTATCAGATAAAAAATCATCACTATCGCTTTCGGTGACATTAATTAAAAATCTGTCAGTAACATTGTCAATCATGTGGTCGAGACCATACATTTTGTCTTCTTTTTTAATTATATGAGACACGCAGCTATTCCATTTTTCAGGTGTGATATGTTGAAGTCCTTCTTCAAAAAGTTTTTTTACTTCTGTCATTTTGAAGGTTTTGTTATTTCTTGCAACATATCCTTTAGCCTGCGCCCATACCAACTCAATGGGATTGAGCTCACAGTGGTATGGGGGCAGACGTAAAACAATTATCCCATGCTGCGCTGCCATCTCGTCCACAACATACTTATCGCAATGTTCTTGCTTGTGCTGCCGTACAATGTCTATAAGAGTAGCTTTAACCATTGTTGCTTCGAATGAAATATTTTTGCTCGTTAGCCACTCTAGTATTCTAGGTTTAGTCCAAGACATTTTAGGCAGCGATTCTAGTTTCCTGGAGTGGTAGGGGGCATTATCCATCACTACTACGGAATTTGGTTTTAGTTTTGGCAAGACCCCCCTAAACCACTTCTCAAAGGAATCGGCATTCATCTCTTGATGATAATCTTCTTTATTTTTTTTGGCTTCAAATATTAATAAGCTGTCTTCTACGAATCCTTCTTCCCCGCCTATATGGCCGATAATTAATCGTTTGCCCTTTCCTGAAGGCTGTTTTAAGCCAGTGGTCAAGCCATCTAGGAAGGCCTGGCGGGACGATAACACTGTCTGGTCAATCCATGCCTTCTTCGGTGCATGACCTTCAAGATAGTGAAAAATATCAATTAATTATTGAAAGTACAATTTAATGTAAAGAAAACAGAAAATTGTAATTACCTTCGTTGATCCAGGTTTCATCTTGGTAATAAATATACCTTCCTTCCCTTCGATACTCTTTAATTTTTCGAAGGTATCGCTGGCGCCATAGAATAATGTCCTGTCTGTCAATTAAAATGCTGTGTCTTGATTTTGTGACATATTTGAAATTTAAATGTTTCATAACATTTCTTAATGTACTGCAAGAAAAATTGGGTAAGTCTGGGTCTTCATTGACAACCTTAAGAATCTGTAAAGTAATAAAAATATGTTTTGAGTAAGGAAGTCTACGCAATCTAATACTTTGGTTTTACAAAGAACATTATGGTGGACACAGAATATAATGCAGTAGAAGGAATAAAGTTTAAGTTACCTTTATAATGGTGGGTGACTCATTTGCATAAAAAAAATTATGTACTTTTCGCCTTATAGCGGCAAAAGTAAAATCGTCTAATTTATCTTTGAAACTGTGTTTCGGTCCACGTTTCTCGGGAGACTTAAATTGTTCATTTTCTTTGCATTCTTTTAACACACTGTAAACTGAGGTCACACCAATTCCCAAAATGTCAGCTGTTTTCGAAACACATTCTTTTTTTTCGGGGGCCTCAATAGGTAATAGTGAAGCAGCTTTTTCCTCAAATACGTGTTTGTAGACGTTTTGTATCATAAGTTTTTCGGTAACGCTTAAAGCAATCCGTGGTCTCTTCTTTCTTGGAGACAAGCTTTGGCTTGACGTGCTTGGTTGAGGATCCATATCATTTGTACGAAACAATATAGCAACAAATAAACACAACAATTACCACAAACACAACGTAACGAAAAACTTAACAAAAACAATAACTAAACAGCGTGAGCGCAGAAAAAACATTCGTGCTATCAGACCAGAGGTTAGAAGCCGAATAACAAACAAAATGGCGACCGACGCGCGCGGCGTTGATCGGTGTTGGCAGTAGTCGCCGCGCCGCGCTTTGTAATAAAACCTCAAAAAACTGATTGTAGTTACATACTACTAGTAACTTATATCAGAGCACTTTTATACAATTTTATTGTAAAATAGAAATAATATTCTTTTATAGTTTGAAATGATTAACTATACACACTCATTGTTCATTCATCTGATTGAACGAGAACTGAACGCATCACTATTACTTTAAATATGGCAACATTATTTTACAAAGTGACATTAGCTACTGTCAGTTGGCTTCGTCTAATTAAAAATACGACTATAGTTCCTAAAGCACATCCTAATGCCCTGAGAAAAAAAAATCATTAAACAAATTTAAACCTGAAAACATTGTTAGTGCTGAAAAAATTATGTCATTAACCTGCGTGGCTGAAAAAAGTTCATTATTATTGATTAGACTGACTGAATTATTAATTTTTATTATTAACACGGTCAGTGCATAACCTGCAAAATGAAAACTGCGAATTAGTAGCTTTTGTTTAATTTGTTTTATATCGATATCGAAATTACAAATTAATCGTATTCAATACACTTCGATGTCCGTAGATCCTGAAACCACGCTCGTAATGTACTGATGTGCCAAAAATTTGAAATAAAAACTTTTGATGGTTTAAAAGTACACTCTGCTGTGTGCTAAGTCGTGTAAAGTATCTAAAATGTAATATTAAAAAATTATTATTATCGATACTCAGTGGTTGAAGGGTGACCGCCACGGTGTGGTGGCTGTAGTAATGTGAAGGTGTAGCGAACCTCTCCTCGATGTTGGCAGGGATGCCCAGGTCCCCGGAACGCAGCTTCCGGCTCACCTCCTCGATCTGCAGCTGAACTGCAAGGGAACGGGTTAGCCGCGCGGCCATATGCACCAATTAGAAACCTGACCGCATATCCCACAATACCTACCTACGTATACACTTACCTACAAAAGTATATTCATATAAAGGCTCAAATTTTTATGATTATCATATCCTGTTTTTGTTATTATTACATTAAATTAATCATTCCGAGCTGAAATTAATTTATTTTATGTACTTATCAATTCTTTTTCTTTTACTGTATGTAAATAGTTATGTAATCTTTGAAAAGGCACACATATATCTATAGTAAGAATAAATAGTATTAAGTTCTTACTCCAGAATAATTATAGCGACAAGGATTATTTGTTGAACAAATTAACAGCGCTTGCTTTAAAGGTGTTCAAAATAAACAAATATGGTAAAAGTATTTCTAAATATAAAGGTTTATTAAAATGTAAAATCAATTTGTAAGTACATTATTATTATTAATATTAATAACTGGCTTATCACCAGACAAATTAATGTTTTTATTATTCCCTACAACTCTGAGAAATCATAAAAAAATAACATTTTTTATAATGTTCCCTGTATAAATGAAATCTCAATTATTGTATTAAATTAAAAAAAAAAACAATTTCAATTGTAAAGTTAGTCGTTCTTTATCTCATCTGTTTTTTAATATGGACAAGACAAAGAAACATCACAATATCAAATATATTATATAAAGTCAAAATCACACAAGTCAAGACTGCAAATGTTTAAATTTATAAAAGTAATTATATATATTAGCAATATATTATGTCAGTGGTCAATTGGATTAGAGTAGGATGAGGAGTCACATAAATACAAATATATACTACAAAGACCAAGCTGTGCAAAGGGTCATTACACATCCTTTATTTGTACAATTTCAATATAATGTACGATACAAACCTTATGTAATAGGATGTTAGGTGAAACCCAATAAAATTCCCGTAGCAAGACAATGGGCTCTAAATTTTTATATATTTAAAATAAATGTTTTTGATCGGTGTTCACACTTTGTCTGAGTAGCATTTTCACATATATTAAAGCAATATAGAAGGTAAATATATCGGATTCGAGTGGGACTAGTAAAGGAGCAAGGTGTGGCACGGTACTCACGTAGATACTGCTCCTCCTGCTCACGGGTGAGGGTGGAGGGGAGGACAGTGGGCAGACCCGGGATGAAAGTCTTGTCGTGCTCGGATCCCATCCAGCGAGTGCGGCGACGTCTAGCGCGGCGTTCCGCTGCAGTCTCACCTGGCGGACCTGCAAATGTTGCGTAGTTCTTACTTTCATGACAATTCATCATCATCATCACTACAGTTCTTTACAAGTCCACTGCTGAACACAGACCTCCCCCAAGGAATGCCACAAAGCACAGTTCTAAGTCACCTGCATCCATTGACTCGCATATCTTACCAAGTCGTCACTACACATTTAGTGGCGGCCGTCCTACACGTCGCCTACCGGTAAGAGGCTGCCACTCGAGAACCTTTTTTCCGAATCGGCTGTCGGTTCTTCGATTTATGTGACCGGCCCGTTGCCACTTCACCTTACTAATCCTTTGGGCTATGTCGGTTACTCTGGTTCTACTGTGAACATGCTCAATTCATGACATGACAATTATATGATCATTTATGTTCATCCCGTGCAAATTTGAACATAGACTAGGCTCTCACTCGTAGAGATTTAACTAGGATTATATAGAAAATACAATTTAACACTACATTAGACTTCATTTCCAAATTGACGGCACGGTAGCGCAGTTTAGTTGGGTCGAATTTCTCATGTATAGCTTAAAAATAATTACTCCATATTGTTCTATGTAATACAATAAGGTGTTTTAAATTTATATTACCAAATTGTCATACAGCTTAATATTATAACCTTGCATAATAGAGTGTAGACTGTAAATTACAATAGAGTCGACATATAAATAGTACAAAAAGAAACAATAACTTTTACATTTTCCGTACCAAATTAACTTCCCTGCTATGAAATCTGTCAAATATTATACCCCACTTTCTAGTGGTGCCGCCTTGGTGGCAAAAAAAGTCGTGGATGCCCTCATTGCCACGCTTGGCAAGCCGATTGACGACCGTAGTACACTAGGCGTCTCCTTTGACACTGCTCCCTGTTGCTGGTCAATGTTACATCTGGCTTAAACGGGACAATTATACCACCACCTAATGGAAGTCGACGCGTGAAGTGGCGGTGTAACAACATCCACTAGTTCTCCTCCTACCTCATATCATCCCATGGGTGGCGTAAAAGGCGACAGAGGAAAACAAATCAGAATATCAGCATCAGCGTCTAAAAAATGCGGTTGCCAACCCGCTTACCGGGCGTGGCAACTATTCCCCTATGACTATATCCAACTATAAGGAAATCTATGGGGCAGGCCTATGTTCGGCAGTGGACTTTAATAGGCTGTAATGGTTACAGTACTGTAAGATCCACAAATGATCCAGATCTTACCATATCGTAATCACAAACACACACATAAACAACAAACGCCTGCCTCACCCTGTCCGTCCTCCTTGTCGTCGTCGGGGTGGTAGTCGTCGCGCTTGTCCCGGTGGTATCGCGACTCGGTCCTGGCCTGCAGCAGCTCCAGCTTCTGCTGCACGGAGGTGGGCGGCGGGATGGCCGTGGCGGCCGACAGCGCGGCCGCCGCCGCCGCCGCCGGCTGCACCGGCGCCGCGATCCGACGCTGCGCCACAAACGTCTGTTAGTGCGCACGCGCACACAACGACATCAGTAACGCAACACCATGCTCCCCGCTCTACAGGGTCGCCACTCGAGACACACACACACACACACACACACAGATACACACAAACACACGCACACACGTACACGTACCGCCGCAGACGCACACACCGACGTCAGTAACGCAACACACTGGTGCACCGCGCTCTACAGGGTCGCCACTCGACACACACGTGTGTACACAACGACGTCAGTAACGCAACACACCAGTGCACCCCGTTCTACAAGTCGGCACTCGACATGCACGACACACACACATGCACGCACGCACACACATGCACGCACGCACGCACGCACGCACACATACATACACGTACACGTACCGCCGCACACGCACACAACGACATTGGTGTACGCCACTATACAGAGTCATCACTCGACACACCCATATACGCATACGTTCGCCCACATTTACGCGTATACGTACACACACGTACGCAAACACAAACACACCCTCACGTACAGGTACCCATTCAAATTTCTGTACCTGTCTAACGCACTAATTAACCTTTAAATGTTAAGAAAATTACTTTCTGACTAGACTTATTGTAAGGGGAGCATCCGGCTCTAAAATACGATTATTCTAGCTCAGGAGTCAAAGAATCAATGAATTTACGCAAAGATTTTGTAATAAATAAAAAAGTTGAACAATGAAAAATTTGATGAAGTTGATCGTAATTATGAAATTGGCTCATAGAATTGCTTATAACAATTTCAATGGCGCCAGCATAGTTTGTGCTCATTTTGGTTATTTATAGATTTAGTTTATAGTTTAAATATCCAATGAATAATCCAATAGAAGGATCATACGAGGGTGGATTGAAAAGTACTCGGCCTAACCAAGAAAATAAACACATACTAAATCAGTTATATTTTTATTTTTCTACATAATCACCATCAAGTTCAATACACTTTTGCCACCTCCCCTTCCAAGCATTTAGACCGTTGACAAAAATTATTCTTCCTTAGAGTCAAAATATGCGTCTACAGCTGCTTTGACCTCGTCGTTTGTCGAAAATCTTTGACCTCCCAAGTGCTTTTTTAGGTTAGGGAACAGAAAGAAGTCTGATGGTGCCAGATCAGGTGAATACGGCGGATGCGGTAACAGTTCAAAGCCACAGTTGTGAATTTCAGCCATTGACTGTACTGACGTGTGAACACGGGCGTTATCTTGATGAAACAGGACTTTTCTTCTGAGCATTCCTCGACGTTTTTCTTTTATTTCCTCTCTTAAACGACGTAGTAAGGTGCAGTAGTAATCAGAGTTTATATTCTGACCCCTTTCAAGATAATCAATCATAATCACACCTTTCGAGTCCCAGAATACTGAAGCCATCACCTTATTTGCCGACAAAATCGACTTAGCCTTTTTAGGGGGTGGTGAACCAGGTCTTCTCCACTGTTTTGATTGTTGTTTTGTTTCCGGTGTACAGTAATGAACCCATGTTTCGTCCATAGTAACAAAACGATTCAAAAAATCATCTGCATCGGCTTCAAATAACTCCAAACAGTCGCGTGAAATAGTCAATCGCGTCCTTTTTTGTTCAACTGAAAGCAGTCGCGGAACCCACCTCGCAGACACCTTGTGGAAACCCAACTCGTCGACAATGATGTTTTGAGTTCGTTCATAAGAGATGCCTA